CTGGTTTGTCCCTACTTCCCCCCTGGATGTGAGAAATGAAAGACTGTATGATAAACTCAAAAGGCTGAAAGAAGAATTGAGGTCAGTAAGACGAGCTAATAAAACGTCTCAGGTTATGTATGTAACCCTGGTTCCCTCAGAGGGAACGAGACGCTGCGTTGAGAATGGCCTTTCATGTGAAGCACATGTAAAATCAGTCCAATGGAAGCGCGAAACGTCATGGGTGACGTCATAGACCAGGAAACTATAAAGCAACCCTGAAATCAGACCACCAGCTTCTTAAAAAACATAGTATGATCACATTGACATAGTGTGTAAGCTGCCAAGTACGCTTTTAAAGGCTTGATGGGTAATGTCAGGGCTTTCAGAGATGACGCCGACTGGGGGGAGAGATAGCTCGCAAGCGTCTCTTCCGCACGAGGCATTGTCAGGTAACCATAGTGTTCAATTCCTTGAACTTTACTATGATTATGCACTCTGAAAGATGCTCGATCTCGACACCTCGGTGTGGAGATCGGGAAAAAACGGGAGTTCCCGACGTGGAGGTCGTGATCTAGATGGCAAAAATCGTTCATCTAACAGACTTTTTCTAAATTCAATATCAAAATCGTCAGCTGGCCATTCGATATTTAATTTAGCTACAGCACGAGATAAAACCTCCATAAGCTCCTCATCAGCAGGGGTATGAGCTGGCGAAAACTCATAATCACCCATATCAACGACATCAGAACTGGATATCTGCAACATTGGTGCCTCAACCTGGCGAGGACAAACCGCAGCGTGGGCTCGTTCCTGGGCAGAGACACCGGATCCAGCAGAGGGTTGAGAAAGGGCGGGGCCCGTCTCAAACCCCGCTACTAGATCCATCTGCGAACCCCAAGATAAAAGCCAGCAGCAGCGGGACCCGCACCTCGGGGTACGCGAACCAAAACAACACAAAGCTGATGTGTGACCCGTGATATAACGAGAGCAGGGAACAACACAACGTCTAAAATCTTGCTGGCTCGCCATGATAATAGATAGAGATATTTTGGGCTTTGACAGACAACAATATAGACAAGGACAGATTTCACAGAGAGCGCTTGCTGAAGGTGCAGAAGCTGGTGGTCTTATTTCAGGGTTGCTTTATAGTTTCCTGGTCTATGACGTCATCCATGACGTTTCGCGCTTCCATTGGACTGATTTTACATGTGCTTCACGACGTAATCATGCAGGGTGTTCCCACCGCGTCTCAAACGCAGCTCGAAGTTCCCTTGAAAGGGAACAACATTTTAAAACAATTATATATATATATATATGATTTTAGCCTGGGTTGTTTTGTGCTAAAAGTCTCAATGATTATGGTTAAACAAGTTGATGATTATTGCGCTGTCCATTTTTAAAAAATGTAGGGCAGTAGTGGATTTTATTCATTGCAATCTATTGGAAAGTGAGGCAAAATGTCATTCACCTGATCTATATATATATATATATACACACACACACACACAGACACACACAGTTGTAATCAAAATTATTCAATCCCTGCAAATCAGGGTTATTGGCAAAATGTACAGACTTTCAGCTGTTTGCACTGAACAAATCAGACAAAAGTAATTGATATACACAACAAATGTTTCAAGTTGTTTCCCCAAATTCCAGATTTAGCTGAAAATGCAACTTTTAATGTCTGCAGTCTCAAAATTATTCAACCCCCTGCATAGAATCCCTCACAACAGCACAAATCTGCCTCAAACAGACGTGGTGTAACTAATCAAGGCCTTCATTAGTCCCACCAGCTGTCTATCTGAACTTATATATACAGTGTATATAAAGAGAGAGAGTATTCTTAATATGGATAAATAATGTGAAGATAATTAATATTTTAATTCATATTTAACTTTAAAAATGTATGTACGTGTGTTGATTCGTGTTATTGATTTTTTTTAATCTAATTAATATAATCTTTTTTTTTCTAGAGTCCAAAGGGCACAACAGGACACTTTGACCAAACTAAATGAGAATGGTAATGTAAAAAGAACATCTAAACAGAAAAAGGCAAACAAGCTAAATAGTATGTGAGACAAATGAGCTAAAACAAGGTGCCCCCACATGAAAATCTTATTTTTGTGTAATCTCAAGATTGGAATATTTGGCTGGATGAGTGCATATGTCTTTAATACGTTGATCAAAGCATTGATACAGTTGCATGAATTGTATATAATTTTGTATTTTTTTTTTTTTAGCATGGAAACCCATTAGTTGCATTTTTTATAAGATGTATATGTAAAACAAATATGTGACCTATTATGCTCATGATAAATGGCATGGTTATATAATTCAGTTATTTTGTGAAATAATGTATAAAAATAGAGCCAATGAAAGTGCTGTGGTTTCTGTTCCTGTCAAAATGTAATTGAATAAAATTCATAAAATTGATGTCTTGATCTCTCAGAATTCATTCCACCAATAGTTGCACTAAATGGGTCAGGAAATCAAAGAAATGAATACAACCTTATAGGCTAATACTCTATTATCATAACCTCGAAATGAGCTCTGTCATGCATTTGAAGCAGTGAAATCGCACCTCTGTTGTGCCCGTCCTGGCCGCGCCAAACCTTTCTCTCCTCTTTAAGCTCGAGATTGACGCGAGTGCCACAGGTGCTGGTGCCGTGCTGTTGCAGGATGGAGAAGGATATCTGCCATCTGGTCTGCTACTTCTCTGTCAAGTTTAAAAAAAAAAAAAAACATCAGCTGAACTACTCCACCATAGAGAAGAAACCCTTGTATTCCTGCTTGGTGGTGATGGCACAGTGGATAAGACATGTCTTTGGTGTGAGAGACCCAGGCCAGGTTCGAATCCACTGTGAGACACCAATGTGTCCCTGGCTGGGCAAGACACTTAACTCCTAGTTGCTCCAGAGGCGTGCGACTTCTGACATATATAGCAATTGTAAGACGCTTTGGATTAAAGCGTCATCTAAATGAATAAATTTAAATGTTAAATGCTTATCTGAGATTAGGTGGGAGTGTTTTGGTTTGTTTTGTCTCAAGTGGTAATGAATTATAACCTCTAATGTAGTCAAACCCCTAGTTTGCTTTTATGGGGGAGTGTTATGATCCTTAGGCTGTGAGTGCGTGGAGTGAAGTCCCTGCTGTAGTGTGTATCAAGTCTTGTGCTGGGGCTTACAATTTACCACTCTCCCTCCACTATGAGAGTATGGTATTATTTTTCCCTTTGTGGTTTTGTTCCTGTTATCCTGTGAGCTACCTTTTAAGTTGTTGGTGTGATTATCATCTGCTGCTACCTTAACTGGCCGCTTCCCCTTTGTTTGGGGAAGTTGTTTTCTGTTGTACCTTTGTAGCCCTCAAACCGTATTCACTTTATAGCTCTTAAAGGGTTAGTTCACCCAAAAATGAAAATTAAGTCATTAATTACTCACCCCCATGCTGTACCAACCCCGTAAGACCTTCGTTCGTCTTCGGAACACAAATGAAGATATTTTTGATTAAATTTGAGAGCTGTATAACTACCACATTGGCTGCCTAAGGGACTGCCTCTTGACGGCCCAGAAAGTCAATGAAGAAAATGTTTAAATATCCCACGTGACTACCGTGGCTCAACTATAAGTTTATCAAGCGACGAGAATACTTTTTGTGCGAAAAAACAAACAAAAATAACGAGTTTATTCGACTATTTCTTCGACTATTGCCAGAAACGAGATTTCCTTAGATTTCCACGCCGCATGCGCGAGAATTGCGATCTGCTTACACCAGCTTACACTACTTCAGATCGCAATTCTCGCGCATGCGTCGTGGAAATCTAAGGAAATCTCGTTTCTGGCCTACAAGGAAGAAAAGAAATAGTCGAATAAACTCGTTATTTTTGTTTGTTTTTTCGCACAAAAAGTATTCGCGTCGCTTGATAAACATATAGTTGAGCCACGGTAGTCACTTGGGATATTTAAACATTTTCTTCATTGACTTTCTGGGCCGTCAAGAGGCAGTCCCTTAGGAGCCAATGTGGTAGTTATACAGCTCTCAAATTTAATCAAAAATATCTTTATTTGTGTTCCGAAGACGAACGAAGGTCTTACAGGGTTGGTACAGCATGGGGGTGAGTAATTAATGACTTAATTTTCATTTTGGGGTGAACTAACCCTTTAATCCTGTAATTGTGGACAAATGTGGGCACAGAGGACTCAGAGGTGTGATCCTAATTTGTATTTATTATAAATGTTATATCACTGTCTTCGATAAAGTTTTGTCTATCCATTTATGGTGTCAGCCTATGGCATAAATAGAAGCAAAATGACAAAATAATTAATTAGAATACTTACCAAAAGTTCCTCCAGGTCGCGCTTCGCCGTCTCTGTACACGATTAAAATTTCTTATGGCACAGCTACTATAAGTCAGTCAGTTTGCTCACGTGACATCTACGTCGTCAAGCTCAGTTTGAGCCTGTGCAGAACGCTTGGCTATCAAAAAAAAAAAAAAAAAAGAAGAAGAAAAAAAAAGAACGCTTGGCTATCAGGAAGTGAGTGCCCATGTTGAGCTTCAGCTCTCTCCGTTGAACTCAACGGGGTCGCTGTGTCCATTTCTTTTACTGTCTATGCAAAATACCATTGGAATGCTAGCTACTTCCGCCGCCTTGCCGGAAGTTTCACCCACTTTATTTTTTACAGGAGCGCCCCCCGGAAACTTGTGGGTAGTCTGTGTGAAATGTGCAGCGCTTTTGGTAGACAGCGCACGATATCCATTTTTGTATTTTTATAACAAACATTTCAATGGTTTCATCTCTTCCACTTTTTATGATTCACATTCACAAATACTAGTACATGCATGTGCTAACAGTGCACAATAATTCCTGCTAGAATGGGGAGGGAAGTTCAGTGATTGGTTTAAATCTTTCCAGACTCTAAACCAATCGGCGACTGGCACTCTTGTTTAAAGCTGGAGGCACACTTCATTTGAGCACTTTCTATTGTCAGGAAGGTTCGAGATAAGTAAGTTTTAAACAATGAGTGGAAGAGGCAAAACCGGCGGTAAAGCCCGCGCAAAGGCCATTGCACACCGAGTCCGAAATTCGCATCCGAAATTTTCGCACGTTAAAAAAAAAATTCGACCTCACGTTATGTCAGTCACGCTTGCACACCGCCTCCGAAACTTTCGTCCGTCATAAAATTAATCGGATCGGGTTCGATTTTCTGCGTTTTTCGCATCCAGAGCCAGCATTTTGAGAGGTCTTTTGACAATTCAGGGCCGGGGGGAGCTCGTCCTCAAATCATTGCACATATGCGCCGTGCTTTCAGTTTCGGTTTTCAATTCGATCAAGTGTTTATGTTCTCTTCTCTATATTGGATTATGAAATTAATAAACCTCCCCTTTCAATCAGATTGAAATTTAGGATCGAATAAGGTGTGATTGAGCAGCCTATTCGATAACTAATGTATTTGGGCACAATACACAATAACAGCCTAGCTGTTCTGCCCAGCGCTTCCAACGGGCCGCGCGCGGGTGTGTGTTTGTCCGTGTGTGTGTGTGTGTGTGTGTGTCCATACCTGGTCCATTTCAGACACACTGCCAGTCTCCGTTCAGAATCGATTGGTTCACGGAAATTGGTGGTCTTGTTTTTAATATGTGGCTCCAGAATCGCTAGCAAAGCATCGAACTGTCCCACTGACATTCTGAGGTAAATTTTGAATCGCTCAGGATAAATTCGCAACTCCTTGATAAGGAACTCTCCTTCCTCTCGGCGCAATTTCAGGATTGGATGGACGTAATATTTTCTCTTTCTTCCTTTTTCAATAAGAGAGAGGGCAAAAATCATCCTCACTGCTTGACGAATCCATTTGGTATTTTTGCGTTTTTTCCCGCAAAGGTTTAAGAAATACGCAACGGACTCGGTGTGCAAGGTTTCTATGCGTGACGAATTTTTAAGCTGACGAACACGAAAATACGCATACGAATATTTCGTGCTCGGTGTGCAATGGCCTTAAGACTCGCTCCTCCAGGGCGGGACTGCAGTTCCCTGTTGGCCGTGTCCACAGGCTCCTCCGTAAAGGAAACTACGGCGAGCGCGTCGGTGCTGGAGCTCCTGTTTATCTGGCGGCGGTACTCGAGTACCTCACCGCTGAGATCCTGGAGCTGGCCGGAAACGCCGCCCGGGACAACAAGAAGACCCGCATCATCCCCCGTCACCTGCAGCTGGCGGTGCGTAATGACGAGGAGCTCAACAAACTTCTGGGCGGAGTGACCATCGCTCAGGGCGGCGTGCTGCCTAACATCCAGGCCGTGCTGTTACCTAAGAAGACCGAGAAACCCGCCAAAACTAAGTAAACTCGAGTGTGTTTAATCCAGACTTAAAGGCTCTTTTAAGAGCCACCCATTTTATCTGATAGAGAGTGAATTTTCCGTTAATAATATTTATAAACACTAAAGGTAATTGGTGGAGGGAGAACATGACCCAACAAACCAATAAAACATGATTGCTCTACATCATCGACCGTTACAGTAGTTGGTGTGCGTGATAGTTAAAAGCACATGATGGTCTTCAGTGGTGGAATGTAACGAAGTACAAATACTTTGTTACTTTACTTAAGTACATTTTTCACGTATCTTTACTTTACTTAAGTACAATAAATAGTGCATACTTTTTACTTTTACTTCGTTACATTTTGCAGCAATTATTATACTTTCTACTCCACTACATTTCTACAACTTCTGTTACATTTTCGTTACATTTTCTGATCAGTTTTTCCCCTGCATAGTTTCCCCAAACATAGTTATTAACATATAGTAAGGATAAGCATGATATTGCCTAATTGCAAGCTTGTTTCAGAAATGGTGACATTTTTTTTCCATCATTATTGAACATCATTATAGGAGTAGGCTATTAGGTTGAATGAGTTAGAATTAAATGTTTTATTAATCATTAGAAAATAGACATTAAGATAATAAATTGTTATGCAAGTACTTTTACTTTTAATACTTAAAGTACATTTAAAATAAAGTACTTTTTACTTAAGTATGGTTGTCATTGTGTTACTTCTACTTTTACTAAAGTAAATATTTATCTGGGTATTTGTACTTTTACTTAAGTACTGAGATTCAGTACTTCCTCCACCACTGATGGTCTTTAATGTGTACTTGCCACCCAACGCATTTTCCATGATATTAAAATATTGCTGTTTTACCAAGCTCTGACAATGTAGTGAATATATTAATAAATAATCCAAAATTAAAAGCAATGCACATGTCGACTTCATAGTAGGCTAATAGAAATTGGTTAATCTGTGACTGGATCTTTGATCCCCTTCTTTATAGGGCGGATGGAAACCGCAGACTGTAATGGTATTTTGTTCTAATCCGAAACCTGCACAACCACTGGGATTAAGGCGGTTATTTCTGATCAAATAAATACAACATTTAGAGTATAAGGACCGAGGAGTTGTCATACTGGTTGGTTTATATGAAATATGCAACAGAACAAAGCAGCCCGAGCCTCGAGCGGGAAAACTTCTACTTGTTTGAGGAAACGCGCAGTCATTGGCTGGCACTCATGCGCAGACATTACGTATTAGCCAATCACCAGGTCTGCATCCTCGCGACACTATGAGCTCGTGGTGGTTCAATGGTTTAAAAGCGAGTGTAAGGCATTTAACGCAGCATTTTAAGCATTGGCAGAACAAAGAAGAGAAGTAATTCGCAGCAATGGCAAGAACCAAGCAGACTGCCCGTAAATCCACCGGTGGTAAAGCCCCGAGGAAGCAGCTCGCTACTAAAGCTGCCCGTAAGAGCGCTCCGGCCACCGGCGGCGTCAAGAAGCCTCACCGCTACCGGCCCGGGACCGTGGCTCTGCGGGAGATCCGCCGCTATCAGAAGTCCACCGAGCTGCTGATCCGCAAACTGCCCTTCCAGCGGCTGGTGAGAGAAATCGCTCAGGACTTCAAGACTGACCTGCGCTTCCAGAGCTCCGCTGTCATGGCCCTGCAGGAGTCCAGCGAGGCTTATTTGGTCGGTCTGTTCGAGGACACCAACCTGTGTGCCATCCACGCTAAGAGGGTCACCATCATGCCCAAAGATATTCAGCTGGCCCGCCGCATCCGCGGAGAGCGCGCTTAAACCGGCGTCTGATTCAATCCACAACGGCTCTTTTAAGAGCCACTAAAACGGCATTGATTGAGATAATTTCCGGTTTATTTCTGTACGAGTAACGTTAGAAAGTTGTGTCATGCATTACGTTAATACTACGGGTTACCGTTCTTTATGATTAGGCTTACCATAATTATAAAATATTTAATCACAAGGAAATTAAATATAAGGAAGATTATTTATATTTAATAAAAAAAAACTGTTAATGCTTATAACATTTTTACATGAATTTTGTGATTGCAGTTTTACAGGGTGCGAATAATATAAAAACTATTAAACACAACTATCATGCACAATTGATTGACGTGAAATTGCTTTTATACAGGTCCAATTCAGTTATATTCTGCATCAAATGAAATAAATCTTAAAAAGCATGAAAGAAGTCGGACACGCCTCGTTAGATTATGGTTATGTTTGGGTTCTTCTTCTTCTTGTGGTGTTTAATGGCGGATTGGCAGACCAACATAAATGGTGCATTCCCGCCACCTACTGATCTTGGAGTATGCTTGGCTTTGGAAGGAAAGGACACGGACAAAAAAAATCAAATTCTATTTACTATTCCTGTTTTATTTAAATTTTTTAAATATTAATTCGTGAATTGTTGATTGTCTTGACCCATTTCCTAACAATACTTTCATTGAAATTGTATCAATTCCCATCCATTGTAGCTCTTGGATTAACTGTTGTCTCTCCCATTCATATGCAGCACATTCTAAACGAATATGCTGCACTGTTTCTAACTCCCCACACTTATCACATTTTCCTGTATCATGCTTCCCTATTTTATAAAGACTATAATTCAACGCAGTGTGACCAATTCTTAACCTCGTAATAATAACATCTTTCTTCCTATTTCCATATCTTTTCTTCTCATTTCCAACCTTTCGTTGAATTTGATAAAGATGTCTTCCTTTACAGTCATTATTCCATACCTTTTGCCATCTTTTATTAATTTCAATTTAGGTTTGGGTTGCATCATCACATTTGTTTTGGGCTGGAACTATATTGAGGGGAGGGGCGTTTTGCGCCCTGTGACGCGTTATTGGTCTCTTTCAGGTCCTCTAGGTAAATATAAATAGCGTTCTAGAAGTCCTCAACTGTTGTATCCATCGTTTGATTGGTATTTGTGAAACATGTCTGGAAGAGGCAAAGGCGGTAAGGGACTCGGTAAAGGAGGCGCTAAGCGTCACCGTAAAGTTTTGCGCGATAACATCCAGGGAATCACCAAACCCGCCATTCGTCGTCTGGCTCGCCGCGGCGGCGTCAAGCGCATCTCCGGTCTGATCTACGAGGAGACCCGCGGAGTGTTGAAGGTGTTTTTGGAGAACGTGATCCGCGATGCCGTCACCTACACCGAGCACGCCAAGAGAAAGACCGTCACCGCCATGGATGTTGTGTACGCGCTGAAGAGACAGGGACGCACCCTGTACGGCTTCGGGGGATAAACGCCTGAAACCAGAATAAACACAAACCCAAAGGCTCTTTTAAGAGCCACGCACTCTGACACATAAAGAGTCTTTCCACAACGATGTTAAAGATAGATGCTGGTCTACCGTCTTGAATTGAAAGTAAACTATACAATTATAAAAGGAAGAAAGATCATTCTGTAATAAGTTTTTACTTTTCTTTAATAAATTATGTGGTGTCTATTTTATGAAGTATTTTAACGCAATATAATTGCATTAAAATCAATCAACTTTTCTTTCTAGAGTACATTTCTAAGAGATTCATCTTTTGGAATTTAAGGTGGTTTACAGAAACAAACAAAAATATATGGTCAAAATCAAAGTGATTAAAGTTGCTTTGAGAGATTTTCTGGTATGAAAACTATTCTTAAAAGGATCTTATCGTTGCTATTATTTCCTTCAAAATTGAGTTTTCAGATAACACGATCATGGATAATTTAGTTTTTTTCTTCAAAAATATTTTTAAAACAAATAAATAGCGGAGAAATGAACAAAGGAAACGGTGTCACTCAAACTTTGGCGGTAGGAGGGGCTATCATTAAGCCGCTCCTGATTGGCACTTGTTTCTCTCATGATTCTTTGAGTTGTCCAATGAAATACGATTTTATGGGTTCGCGGCCTATGAAAACAGACTATCAGCAGAATCTCTTTGAAAATTTGCATAAGGAGTGAATAAAAAACCTTTGTATCACGCTGGAGTCTTCATTGATTCGTCATTTTACTGATTGTATCATCATGCCTGAACCAGCAAAGTCCGCGCCTAAGAAGGGCTCCAAGAAGGCCGTCACCAAGACCGCCAGTAAGGGAGGAAAGAAGCGCAGAAAGTCCAGGAAGGAAAGCTACGCCATCTATGTCTATAAAGTCCTGAAGCAGGTCCACCCTGACACCGGTATCTCCTCCAAGGCGATGGGCATCATGAACTCTTTCGTCAACGACATCTTCGAGCGCATCGCCGGTGAGTCGTCTCGCCTCGCGCATTACAACAAGCGCTCCACCATCACTTCCAGAGAGATCCAGACCGCCGTGCGTCTGTTGCTGCCCGGTGAGCTGGCCAAACACGCCGTGTCCGAGGGCACAAAGGCCGTCACCAAATACACCAGCTCGAAGTAAAGCGGGATCATTTCAGCTACCACAAAGGCTCTTTTAAGAGCCACCCACCTTCTCCATTGAAAGAGCTCATGTTGCTGTTAAAGTGATGAAAATAGCATTTTCTGATGTTAATTGATTTGCACTTCTTTTTCTTCTTTTTCATAACAAGGAATTTACAGAAACTATCATTTTTATTTTGCAAAAGTAAAGTCATTCAACTGACTGAATTGAAGAATTCTCTGAATGCAAGCGTTTGCACTTAACAAGTAAAAAACAACGTTAAAAACCGTCTAGAATTAACTGTGTATTTATTGAAAACTCATTTCAGAGTTCTGGATTAGCCTTCTCTGTGTTTCTATTCGTCAGAATTAACCAACGAATTTTTTTCACTCTTATGGTTGACTTAGCAGTTGTGGCAGCATGGTGTTCCTAATACTGCTATTCTAATAACACTAAATTAAAGTCCCCGTGAAATCAAAACTGAACCTATTTACTTTGTTAGCGCATATTACTAGTCTTGTGGTGAACAATTAATCCGTGCAAGTGAATATATATATTAAAAAAAAATGTTTTACCTTAGTAATCTTTAATCAAAATCTGAAAAGTTACTTCCGGTCTGGAACGGTTTCTTTTTCTGATGACGTAGGTTTCACACAGTTTGGGTGGGGAAACGCTTAACCACTCCCCTCAAACCCTTAGTGTGCTATGAGCGAGAGATGGAGAGGAGGAGCGCTAGAGTAAAACCCTGCCCTCTGTTCAATATTACGTTTCACTTGGAAATACGTCACAGCACTGGAGAAAAATCGTTTGCAACTTAGGGCATGCCCTAACATTTGTGCTTCAGCTATTCACATCAGCTATTTACACAATAAGGCAAAGACCCTATACTGCATTCAGCCCAGATTGTATTACAATAATAAATACTACTTTAATTTTCTTAGAACAGCAGTATGCAAGACAGTGTGCTCGTAAATACTGTGCATATATTTATCCGTTCCCTAATGGATCAATGAAAATGAAAATTAAAAATGTGTGACAATGTGAGGAGACTTTTGTAGTTTATTTTCAAACATAGTACACATTATACTTAAAATCAAATCAAAAAAAAAAAAAAAAAAAATATTAAAAGGTCATTTTTTGTGCACCCAGGTTTGAACACACTCACACACCTTTGTGCCATTCCTGGAAACAGTTCGTGTTCAAATGGAGACAAGTGAATGTCGCATCCCTGGCATTTCCATGGTGTTTGTTGCTTCTTTCCATGCACTGCAGTGCAATATTTCTGACATCGACATCAGCTCATCTCCTGGAAATGGCACTTGGTCACTACTGGTGTGTTCTGGATCTGCTTCCAGACACACCACAGAGCTCTTTAATAAGCACTTCAATAAACGCCTGGTGTGTCATGTTGCCGTGTAGCTCCTTGTGCAATATGAAAGCGTTGGTGGCAGCAACGTCCAAGAAGTGTAGAAATACTTTTCTGTACCACTTCATGGTTTTGGGCTGTACGGTGTAATACTGCAACAGCTGGTCGGACGGGTCAACAACTGTCATGTGCAGGTTGTATGCGGTCACTGGCGCAGGACATGGAAAAGACTTTGTCCTCCGCATATCTTGTGCTTTCACTTTTCGTTGCACACAATCTCCTGTGTAGGCAGCATGGATGGTGGAACAAACAGATACTACTTGTTTGTCCATCCACTTCACATACACTAGAGGCCCATCCCGAATCCACCGGATGGATCCCCTGCTGGACTTTTTGGTCAGTGAATTAGATGAGCTTTGTGGAAAGTCCTTCCTATAGTCTCTGTAAGTCCCACAAGCACCAAACTTCATAGCAAACAAGTCTGTTAAGAGCTTTGGACTTGTGTAGAAATCGTCCATGTACACATGGTACCCAGAGCCCAAAACTTTCTTGTCCAGGAGAGACATCACGGCATCATAAGAAAGCCCACGGCCCGTGGGGAAGATGTTCTCGTCCGTGTACACAGAGAGGTCCACAGTATATCCATTCGACGAGTCAGTAAGGACAAAACACTTGAAGCCCAGATTTGTTAGCTTGGCTTTCATGAACCGTCTTATTTCTGGATTTGCTCTGCATGCTAACAATCTTTTCTTCACAGCTAAATTTCTTCTGGGATGATAAAAGGTTTTGCATGCAAGACGGATGGTGTCCATGAGGGGTCTTACTCTGAAAAGCTGGTCATGTTCAGCTGTTCCCTTCTTTTTGTCATTTTCCTTGTCTGCGTCTGGGTGGCTCATGTGCAAATTCCATGAAATGGTGCGGTATCGTTCCCTAGACATGACTGTGGAGGGAAAAGGCACAGAGAAGAGACCGTCCTGTCGCCAGTAGTCAGCGATGGAGCTCATCTTCATCATGGCCATGTAGAAAACGAGTCCAATGTAGCGGTACAGATCGCCAACACTGACATCTGCCCAACTGTATTTGCGACCCTTTGCGAGTGCTCTGGCAGCCTGAGCGTTTGTGTTGTGGCACAGATTTGACACGGCGCTCTCTGAGAAAAACAGTTTGAAAAGACTCATAGGAGAGTGCGAGTCAGAAAGATTCAACTGTGGCCCAGGTTCCCGAGCCGGCAGGAATCTCAGAGACTTCGGAGCCACGTCGACATCAGTCTCTTCTCTCCATGACAGAGTCTTCTTGGCTCTCTTTAAAACAGGAATCTGGTCACCGTCACTCTCACATCTGTGGGGGAGAAAACAAAGGTGAGCATGAAAACAGGATCGCAAAAAACATTGTCCATTACCAATACGGATATATTGTCCACTCATTAAAAAGCCTTTTAAACTCCCAATCACTTTTTTTTTTTTTATAACACTTAAATATCAGATAATGTGCACTTGTTCATTAAGATTCTCAACCTTGCTGAAAACTGAACGGTGCTTTTGTGCCGCTCCTGTGTGAGGAGTAAGTGAAAGAACCACATTCCTAAGAAAAGAAAAGTTAGTAAACATTTGTTAGCTTAAATTGTCCAAGGTGGCATACCAGTGCAAACGTAAGTGATTGGCAATTAATGTATACGGCCGGTGATTTATGCCTGACGATGAGGCATCATTGAAACATTTACACCTATAAGGAGATATTGGAGAAGGCGGATTAATGGATACATGGTCTCCTGCTTCATGCCTGTTGATAGGGCTTCAAACACATTCAAAACATTTACACCTCAGCAGATATTGGAGGACACAGTTAAGCTCCGTTAATGAGCCAGTATTTTACAGTAAACGCTGGTTTTCTGCCAAATAATGCTATCAGATACCAACACTATATTTGCAATAAGGGGTGGTAATGAAGCCTCAAAGCACATGAATATGATGCAAGCTAACCCGGAGTCTGGATATTTAATGTTATCTCTCTCCACATTATAGAGAATAAATGAAGAGTTCAGATGCAAAAGCCTCTAAGTGCCATTTGAAATTTTCTTCTAGAATGATCATTTTTATGAAGCTTGTATATTTAAGATCAGTGATTTCACTTAAATGGCAATGATAATTACCTATTAATTGTTATTTAAGTGAAATTACTGAACTTAAATATACAAGTTTGATAAAAATCATCATTAAAGAAGAAAATTTCAAATGGCATTTAGAGGCTTTTGCATCTGAACTCTTCAAATGCTTGTTTTGCAAGACATATGAAAATACCACAGGACAACACACTTCACCCATAATATTAAAAACAGTAGATTTCAGTCGGGGCAGGTCTGAAACAGCTGCATGTAGGCAACTCAATAAGAATAAATGGCTTACTCTTCAGAAAATGTGTCCTGCGCTGGATCAAAGGACTCCTCAAAATTGTGGTCTTCGTCGTCAAGCTCTTCAGACTCTGAGCAAAACTCATCTTCCTCACTGTCTATGGTCATCTGGAGAGCTTGCTCGCGTGCGTGACGAGCCATCTTGATGAAAGGTCAATAAAGCCAAACAAATGTTTGCGGCCAATTTTATCCTATTGATGGGGGCGTTTACCAGATTTCGCTGGTACGTCACCCTTAGGTTACCATGTGAATGATTCGGACTGCCGGTGGGTGTGGCCAGATCGGCGCTAAAAAGACAACACGAAAAACCCTGAACTTGTATTTTGGTGCAACTCTTTTTCTGGACTTTATCTGCTGCAGGGGGCATAGCCAGAACTTTTTTCATGGGTGGAAAAACGGCTTATTGTTGTGACTAAATATTGCAAAAGAATGTTTAATACTGCTTTGTTTTAAGCAACAGCGTGCAATTGCCCTACACAACATTATTGTAGTCTTGGGTGTTTGTTTAAAGATCATGCTAATTTCAGAGGGCTTGATTGCTCTGCTCTGATGTTTTCATTGGTCAGAAATCGGCCGCTAGAGAGACACATCTGCCAATTGAAAGCTCCCAATTTTGAATTCCTCCCCCGAACCGCCAGTTCAGTTAGCCTGGCTACGCCCTCCTACGCACTTCCGCTCAATTTCATTTCCCTAGCCTAGAGTCTGGTCTCAGCCTCAGACGTCACGCCCACGGAACGTTGGCTAAACGTCTGATGCATATGGTACACTTAAGGAAACACTTCAGGAATGTCGAAGTCGTCATCTGATTGGTTGAATTTTATCGGATTTCCGGGGGGGACATTTCGACGCCCCGAAACGTGACGCTGAATGAAACGAACTGTAATTGGTTGTTTGACATGTCGGTCAAACGGCCTTATGGGCGGGCCTTGGCCAAAGAAAGCTGCTATGAATTCCAGACCTTCAGCCGTCAGTCTAAAGGTCTGGCTACGCGAGACTAGGTTGAACCAGGCTACAGTTCAGTCTCCCACGCGCCTGTTCAACTGACTTTACCGATCACAAGCATGCCAATAATATGCTTTAATCTGACAATTGCAATTCTGCAATGTTCATAGTGCACATTAAATCTCTCTTTTGGGAGAACTCTTTGGGAGAACTTGTATAAACATTTGAAGATCATACATCAGTATTAACACACAAATAAAGTCCCACGGGATTCAATTTGAGTCCCGGATTTTGGTAGGAATGGGATGGCCTATTTTTGTGCTGTGTAAGAACTAATTCAACTTTAGTGAAAATTAAGCTTGTTGCAAGGGAGCAGGGTTTGAATATTTCCATTTAAAAATCCCAAACTTAATCCCAAATTATTTTTCAGCCTTGTGTTTGGCATATTACAGTCATCTTTACAGTATTTTCCCTCCCCAATTGGTTTTCTCGAAGTGATAACGTGTGTGCTTATGATCTACTAAGTGTGTTTTGCCGCACATTGTATATCATAAAAATAAATAAATAAATTCATTTTTGCTTTTAATAAACTAGTCAGTGAGAAATCTGATTGGCTGGTAATATTAGCAAAGTTAATATAGTTTCTTTAAACAAATATCTAGTATAACTTTAGGCTTCAATATTTGTGTATTGCATTAAGATGTAATTAAAAATTGTTAGATCCTCTTGTCATTGGTGTCCTCAAAATCTCTAGGGAAACATGAGGAAAATGGTGTTTCAATGTGTGTCATGAGAGCCCCATTTCTTTTCACAAGAACAAAAGTAAGAAGAATATTTGTTTTCTACTCTAGGCTCCACTTTTAATTATTATTGTGTAAGACTGCCCTGGTGTACACCTTCTTTATGTTATGTTATGTGCACATCATGGACACACAAAACAATAGAAAGAAAGAACCATAGCTTGGACACACTCGTGCTCTAAAACTCAAGACGCACACATACATTTGAACTTCTGACCTCGCTTACTTGCTATATTATTCCGTATGGGGTTGATCTTTCAGTACTGTGATTGGATGGCCTGCATTGTGGATGATTCTGCTTTATGTTGTATAAATATGACCGTTCTTCCTTAATAAAGTTGAGAATGTGATACTACTGTGTTTTGATCATCGATCTCACACTGATGCCACACATCACAGGGGTCCAGGCCTGCTTCAATCTGATGACTGACAGACGCTTCGAGGCTGCAGAGAATACCTGAAAATTAATCTAACAGACAAATATTGTATTGGATCAGAATACTCTTGTATCCCCTATTGTAACTCCAAGAAACACATTTTTAGGAATTAATTTGAAAAGTTCAAAGCAACTGAATTGTTTTTGAGTGTTTAATTCAGAAAGTTTTAACTTAGTTATTATCAGCCCTTCAGCTCCAGTGTCCTCATGCTTTGTCACTGATCCCAGTTAAACCTGCCTGTGTATTTCTGCACCTTCATTATCTTGATATGGTTTGGGTTTAGTACTAGTACTACCAAAACCTGACATCCGTGCAAATATATCAAACATATAGTGGAATTATTATTATATGACTTTTTATGAATTAGCATTCAGTGGTGGTTAAATAAAAATAACAAACTTACAATAAGTGACCTGTTCTTTGTCACATTAACTTAGCAGATGATTTTAACCAAAGCGACCTATGGAGAAATGCAAGCAATTCATCTTAAGGGGACAATGGCATAAGAAATGCTTGCAATACAAAGTTTCAAACGTCGTCCAGAAAAGTACAAGCAACAGAACAAGGGAAATATGAAACTGGGGGGAAAATAGTTTTTTTATTTTTGTTTTTTGTTTTTGAGTCACTTGCTCTGCCTTGCTTTAAATGAGCGTATCATTCAGATGAACTTTTACACAAAATTCTCATTCACATTAAATGACGAATAAGGATAAACAGATATGACGATTTACATTTTTATTTAGGTGATATGATGTCCGTCATCTTATGGACATGATATTTATTATTAATATTAATACAAATTATGATTATTTTAAGGACAGATCATCTGTTGGTCAGACATGAGATTCACAGAGAGACTTCATGATGTGCTTCAAGCTTTCCCAAAAAACATGTGTATGAAAGCCTCCTCATACCCCTCGCTGATGCTGATTTCATAAAAATCTATTTCAGACTGTTAGCTGAACACACAGATGACGGGGCCAGGCTTTTACCAACCTTTCCACTTAAAATATCCATCAAATTTACACGCTGCTTTCCCCCGTAGCTGATGCTCGCCATGGATTTGATCTGACAAAGGCAAAACAAACATTTCATCATTGGGTATTTTAGTCTCCGGTGAAAGCTCAGAACCTCTGCTTGGTGTTCAATTTATTTTGGCTGAACCAAAGTATTTTACCACTCCACTTTTTAACCAAATGTACTTGAAGAAAACACACGAGTGAAGGACTCGTTGACGCGTACAGACGACAGTTTGAGTCTATAAGGTTCTCATGTGTTGTTTAAGAGCGCAGCGCCGCCATTCATTGTTGAAACTTGAGACAAGAGTGAGAAAGACTGTTCATTCGGAAAGAGAGAAATGGCAGAAACCGCTCCCGCACCCGCTGCAGCCGCCCCGGCCAAAGCGCCCAAGAAGAAGTCCGCTGCTAAAGCCAAGAAAGCAGGTCCAGGCGTCGGCGAGCTCATCGTCAAAGCTGTGTCCGCATCCAAGGAGAGGAGCGGCGTGTCCCTCGCCGCGCTGAAGAAAGCGCTCGCTGCCGGCGGATACGACGTGGAGAAGAACAACTCCCGCGTCAAGATCGCCATCAAGAGCCTGGTGACTAAAGGCACCCTGAAGCAGGTCAAAGGGACCGGCGCCTCGGGCTCATTCAAGCTCAACAAGCAGCAAGCCGAGACCAAGAAGAAACCGGTCAAGAAAGCGGCCCCTAAAACGAAGAAGCCCGCGGCCAAGAAACCCGTCGCTGCCAAGAAGCCCAAGAGCGCAGCGGCAAAGAAGCCCGCCGCCAAGAAATCGCCCAAGAAGGCCAAGAAGCCCGCAGTCAAGGCCGCCAAGAAGGCGACGAAGAGCCCCAAGAAGGCAAAGAAGCCAGCAGTCGCTAAGAAAGCAGCCAAGAGCCCTAAAAAGGCAAAGGCTGCGAAACCTAAAGCTGCAAAACCCAAAGCCGCCAAGCCTAAAAAGGCAGCGCCCAAAAAGAAATAAAGTCCAGTGTTTGTTCCTCAACGGCTCTTTTAAGAGCCACCCACTAACTCTGAAAAAGAGCAAAACTCGTTTATATCAATGATGTGTGTTCATTTTGAAAGCAACTAAAATTAACCTCTTGGACTAATTCATTCTGAAGAAACAAGTCAAAACACAGACAGTTTGAAAGAAGACAACAAAGTAATGGTATCCATTATTTATATATAAGACATGTATTGTAAAAAGCAGAAAAAAAGGAAAAAAGCTGAGGAGGGTTCAGACAGTGATCACAGTAAATAGGATGTTGTACAACAGTACAGACCGAATAAATACACAATGCGGGAGAATTGTGACGAAACAACCCACATTTAACAATATGGGCACTGATTAGACTCCAATATTACAATAGGAACATAATACGGTGCAGTAGCCTATGAAAAGTGCAGCACGTTTGGAAGAAACAGCGTACAATATAATTTTTAGTACATATATATATATATATATATATATATATGGTCATTAATACGTGTGCATAGCAAGCAATCCACGCCAGGGATTTGGGCGGGGTTGGGCTTTCGGGCAGAAGTTCAGTGATTGGTTTGAATATTTACAGACTCTAAACCAATGGGCGACTGGCACTCTAGTTTAAAGACAGTATGTGGAGACACACCACCGTCATTGTATTACTTTAAACGGTAATATCTGCGTTGAAAATGAGCGGTAGAGGCAAAACCGGCGGTAAAGCCCGAGCAAAGGCTAAGACTCGCTCCTCCAGGGCGGGACTGCAGTTCCCCGTCGGCCGTGTCCACAGGCTCCTGCGGAAAGGAAACTACGCCGAGCGCGTCGGTGCCGGAGCTCCCGTTTATCTGGCGGCGGTGCTCGAGTACCTCACCGCTGAGATCCTGGAGCTGGCCGGAAACGCCGCTCGGGACAACAAGAAGACCCGCATCATCCCCCGTCACTTGCAGCTGGCGGTGCGTAATGACGAGGAGCTCAACAAACTTCTGGGCCGAGTGACCATCGCTCAGGGCGGCGTGCTGCCCAACATCCAGGCCGTGCTGTTGCCTAAGAAGACCGAGAAACCCGCCAAAACCAAGTAAACGGATCACAGACTCGATTACTGAAACAAAGGCTCTTTTAAGAGCCACCTATTTTATCTGTCAACGAGCGCTTTTCTCTGTTAATATCTACAAACACTATAAACACGTTTGGTCAAGGAGGAAAATAACCCACCTAACGACTAGTGTCTACCTCCACGATGAATGTTACAGTTGACGTTGTGCACGTTAGAAACACATGATGATCACCTAAAGTGTGACTACCACCTAATCCATTTCCTCTGAGATTAAAATATAGTTGTATGCCATGCTTTGATGATATATTGAATATTGTAATAAATTATAATCTAAAATAAAGGGTAATTTACATATCGAATTCAGGGAAACAGGATTTGGTCAATCTACCTCTGGGTATTTGTCACTTTATTAGCGGGGCTGATCTACTGATCCCTGTTTCACGGGGAGGACTGAAACCTTAGTAGTGTGTCTTAGTCTCGAGGCCGTGCTTTTACATAGACTGTAATATGATTTCGTTCGAATCCGAGATCTGCACAACCATTGCGATTCATATACAAATAAATACAATATTGTGAGTATAAAGACGCCCAAAGTAGTCAACGGAACAAAACCGCTCGAGCGGGAAACCCTCCTTTTGTTTGAAAAGAGGAAACACGCAGTCATTGGCTGGCACTCATGCGCAGACGTCACATACTAACCAATCACAAGACCTGCATCATAGCTCGTGGCGCTGCAGTGCTTTAAAATCGGGCGTCTAAAATAGAGAGCAACATTTCCAGCGCAAGCAGGACAGAGTGAAGAAGACAGCAGCAATGGCGAGAACAAAGCAGACCGCTCGTAAATCCACCGGTGGTAAAGCCCCGAGGAAGCAGCTCGCTACTAAAGCTGCCCGTAAGAGCGCTCCGGCCACCGGCGGCGTCAAGAAGCCTCACCGCTACCGGCCCGGGACCGTGGCTCTGCGGGAGATCCGCCGCTATCAGAAGTCCACCGAACTACTGATCCGCAAACTGCCCTTCCAGCGGCTGGTGAGAGAAATCGCTCAGGACTTCAAGACGGACCTGCGCTTCCAGAGCTCCGCTGTCATGGCCCTGCAGGAGTCTAGCGAGGCTTACTTGGTCGGTCTGTTCGAGGACACCAACCTGTGCGCCATCCACGCTAAGAGGGTCACCATCATGCCCAAAGATATTCAGCTGGCCCGCCGCATCCGAGGAGAGCGCGCTTAAACCGGCGTCTAATTCAACCCACAACGGCTCTTTTAAGAGCCACTAAAGTTTACACTGATTGAGAGAATTTCCTATGTAGTCTATGTAATATAAAGGTGTGTGATGCCGATAATAAATTGAATCACCTCGAAGTTTATATAAAATATAGTGAAAATACTGTCCTAAATCATGAATTTATCATAAAACAGGTAATGTGCACCACAAGATAAATACACTTTTTTTTTTCTACTTGAGGCATGATAGACTGTAGAACAAGATTGTTAAAATATACAGTTTGTTTTACATATATATATATATATATATATATATATATATATGTACACACACACGCACATTGTAACTAGTAACGTTATATTATATTTTATAATGAAGTCTCTTTTGACTATGTGGTTTATATGACTTCAAAAGTTCTGTACTTCATGGTGCTGGACATTCAGACTGTGGAAAGTAGTATTTTAATTTTAGCTTTCTTCAGTGGAAAAACAACAACAATAAGCTGCTAATATTAGTTGTGATATATAATATTAGTAAACATTACCTTAAGATACTAAAAAAGAAAGATGTCATATCTCATTTATGTTGATATTTAACACATTTTGAAACGTCTGTATTGATTTGGGGTTGATCCGCAATATTTCACGATACATATAGTTTGAGTTTCAAAAATATCACAAATGTTAAGGGATTGTTTAGCCAACACATCCACTTCATTTCCTTTCACCCAAACATGTGCAAGAACACAAACAAACCATATACTCAAACCTTTATTATGCAATCTATATATTATTTGATATATTTCAATTAGCATTTCAGGCCTGCATGATTTCCCTGATTTAATCTTGTGAGTGCCAAACTATCAGATGCAACTGAAACATGTTGTGTGTTACATTCATCTACCCACTGTAATCCCAATATAATGGCTAGCAGTTCTACTGTGTAAACTAAAAGATTATCTGTTGTTCTTTTCTTGATGCATTTTCCACATTGTGGGATTCACACTGCAGGACCCATATGTCCATTTCTTTGAACCATCTGTGAATATCATTATTTTATTAGGACAATTACTTTCTAAGTATCTTTGTACAACAAACCAGACAGGTATGTGCTTTGAATTATCTTATATTTCCTCATGCATTTGTAAATCAATCATTGGCATTATAACCATCCAAGTAGGATATTTGAATATGGGACAGAAGGACAATAGTATTCAAACCTATTTCCCTTGCTTTTTTATTCACAACCCATCCAAAACTTCTAAAATGAGATTTACTACGTTCCCAACACACCTGCGTAGCCTTTGCAGGAAGGGATTCATTATGTTCCTGCAGGTTTACACAATATGCTAGTATTAGTTTAAGTCTTCTGATACCCAACCGGCAACTGGAAATGTTTTAAAAACCCCACTACATATTCTTAGGGCTTTCGATTTAAGCAATACAACCATAATCAAAAGTAGATCTCATAAAAGCCACTATTTATTTTGCAATGAAGACCTAGTTGTTCCCCAATCTCCAATGTTCCACCAACCAAGAAGTCTAATACCCAATTGCAGTCTACCTCCTCTAACCAATTAATTCCGTTTTATAAGGATTACTTCTTTCCACAGCATATCATCATGTCTTTTCGATATCAAAAAAAGAAAGACAGCTACTACCATGTCTTTGTTTGTCTTGGCTTTCCTAATCACTTCCTTTGCGGAATCCACCTTTGTGAAAATAAATTGCACAAATTGCAAAATGAAACAAAGGTCAGGGTGCTCTAACTATATTTTGGGGGAGGTGTGTGTGTGTGTGTGTGTGTGTGTGTGTGTGTGTCATGTGACGCGTGACGCGGCGGTGGTTTCTCTCAGGTCCTGTAAGCACATGTAAAAATCTTCCTTGTAGTACACATAGCATTCATTTATGTTCTTTCCTTGATCGATAGAATCACTCAGTGTGAAACATGTCTGGAAGAGGCAAAGGCGGTAAGGGACTCGGGAAAGGAGGCGCTAAGCGTCACCGTAAAGTTTTGCGCGATAACATCCAGGGTATCACCAAACCCGCTATTCGTCGTCTTGCTCGCCGCGGCGGCGTCAAGCGCATCTCCGGTCTGATCTACGAGGAGACCCGCGGAGTGTTGAAGGTGTTTCTGGAGAACGTGATCCGCGATGCCGTCACCTACACCGAGCACGCCAAGAGAAAGACCGTCACCGCCATGGATGTTGTGTACGCGCTGAAGAGACAGGGACGCACCCTGTACGGCTTCGGGGGATAAACGCCTGAAACAAACCACATTAAACAAAAGGCTCTTTTAAGAGCCACACACTCTGACACATAAAGAGTCAATGTTTTGATTATACCAATCATTAAACTAATTTGTTTTCTGAATCTATGACACCCCACCAAATATCTTTACACAGACTTTTACAAACATTTGCTTTTCTTTAGCAGATGGTAAGTACATAAATAACTCACTGTTTTTGGATTACTCGCTAAACAGTTTAACGAACGCTCTTTTCCAAAATTAACAAGAAAAAAAATAAATATGATTTAAGTGAAAATGTTTGTATTGCGCACACACGGTCAAGTGGGCTTTGTTCATGATGCGCAATATTATTAGAACCGATTCTTTTCGAACAAAAAATAAATAAATAAATGAATAAAAAGGAGCGGGAAACGAAACAAAGGAAACTGGGAGGAAAGGCGTTCAAACCTATGGTTTCAACAAGCAGCGGTGGGTGGGACTATATCATTTATCCGCCTGTGATTGGCCCTCGTTGCTCTTGTGATGCTTTGAGTTGTCCAATAAAGTACGAGTTTACGGGTTTGGCCTATAAAATTACCATAGGGCAGTGAATAAATGCCTCTGTATCGCACACTGTAGTTTACATTTACTCGTCAGTCTTATAGTATCGCATCATCATGCCTGAACCAGCAAAGTCCGCGCCTAAAAAAGGCTCCAAGAAGGCCGTCACCAAGACCGCCAGTAAGGGAGGAAAGAAGCGCAGAAAGTCCAGGAAGGAGAGCTACGCCATCTATGTCTACAAAGTCCTGAAGCAGGTCCACCCTGACACCGGCATCTCCTCCAAGGCGATGGGCATTATGAACTCTTTCGTCAACGACATCTTCGAGCGCATCGCCGGTGAGTCGTCTCGCCTCGCGCACTACAACAAGCGCTCCACCATCACTTCCAGAGAGATCCAGACCGCCGTGCGTTTGTTGCTGCCCGGAGAGCTGGCCAAACACGCCGTGTCCGAGGGCACAAAGGCCGTCACCAAATACACCAGCTCGAAGTGAGGCGTGCCCGACTTCAACTACCCCAAAGGCTCTTTTAAGAGCCACCCATCTTCTCAAATAAAGAGCGTTTGTGTAGTTCTCTAATGCTCTTGATTCTATGAGAATTTTAATGAATTCGTTATTAAACATTGACTCGGGTTTTTGAGGAGTTTTAGCCCTATAGACTAGATAGATTAAAAATCTTGACTAGACGGATTTCAGAAAAAATGACTTTCCATAAGAATTGAGGAGCATTTATGGGTACAAGTCGGGAACCGCCTACCTTACATACTTCAAGGGTTCTGAGTCCATAAAATTGGTTATAATTTTAACAGCCAAATTCCCCGATCACATCCACCTACGAAATGTTGATCATATTCTGAATTAAGAAATCATAATCCAGTAATATGATTTACAGGGAACATAAATAATCACTTTACCTTCCGAGTCTTACGTTCATTTGTCACGTGACATACGCAATGAACAGATCGTTAATGAATCACATATCTGGGACTAAAGCAGCAGGATGTCGAAACGAAACATGGTGGATTATTATTATGATAATAATAATATGATAATAAGAGCGCACCAGGATCGTTCACAGCCGAGGAGACCGACTTTCTTGCCGACTTTTTTGACTTTCTTGGCCGTAAAAGACTGAGAACTGACGTTGAATGGGGGTAAGTTATGTCCTTATAGTTATGCATATAGTTATAGCCAAACAGGTCTGATCCATCATTACTACAATTATTAGCCTGAAAAAATTGGGTATCCTAATGCCTAAGCTTGAATTGTTAATATTTTTCCTTGTTATAATGATTTGCAAAAATAAAAACGGCTTTATCTTTATTGATGAGAGAATCAAAAGTGTATACGCGTTGTGCAAGCTACATAATGGCCAAGCATGCTGGTTTTTGCTGGTATACGTTGCAAATAGCTGTAAACTGATGATGCGAGCGAAATACCGGAGTGAACATGGCTGTAAACGACGCTTCAGTTTGAAAACCCCGGAATGTTCTCCATAACAGAGCGAATTGCATCCCGTGTCTTGTTTCCCATTTCTGCGGTTGTTTCGCTTTTCGATTTCTCTAACCTACAATGTACACTCGTGTTAAAAAAATCTCAGTTGGTTAAGGAGTACAATAGGGGGGTATCAAAACAGTGGACTTTGAGGCAATGTTAGGATCATTTAAAGTAAAGTGGTTGAACGAGTTTCTATTGAAGCCAGATTCGATATGGTTCCACATTCCAAAAAGTATTTTCAAGATGTTCGGCGGGCTAAACTTTCTTCTGAAATGTGATTTTGAGATTTCCAAAATACCTTTCAAATTATCTGAGTTTCACAAACAGGTTTTGCATTATTGGAAGATGGTATTTACCCATAACTTTACCCCTCACTGTGCCACCTTGTGGAATAATATAGTTATTGTATCAAACAAAAAGTCTTTGTTCAACCAACTGTGGTTTGAACAAGGTATTATCTTTGTACATTACATTTTAGATATAAATGGGGAAATCTTACAGCTGCAAGATCTAAAAAACAAATTTAATAATATTCAATGTTCTCTTAAAGAATATAGGACAATCTGTAAATCCATCCCAGTGAATTTGATACAGCAGATAAAAAACACAATTATTTTTTCTAATGTCCAAATCAAGCTTCCAAACTTAACGATAGGGGAATTGAACCTGACAGACAAAAAATGTGATAACAAATATTTAAACAAAGCATTCAAAGGTTATATATATCATGATTATGACAGGAAGATAAAACTTAAAATATTAGACAATCCAACAATTATAGAAAAACATTGGAAATTTATAAAATGGCCAATTGCACCCAAAGTAAAAGAAATGCAATTTAAAATTCTTTACAACTACTATCCATCTGCGGAGACACTGAGGGGTAGATTTGGTTTTGAAGTTGACCCTTGCGATTTTTGTCATGAACACCCAGAACAAACAGAACATTTATTCTTCCTTTGCTCAGTTAGCAGGAAGTTCTGGCAAGATGTCCACAGCTGGTTGAAAAATAAAATTAGTGAACTTGAACAATTTACCATCGAAGATATTCTAATTTATAATTCCAAAATAAAAAGGGACCTTTCAATTTTGATTAACCTTATCATCATTATGGGTAAATACCACATTCACAAAAATAAATGGAAAAAACATTTGCCAAATGTAAACTGTTTTAAAAATGAATTTTCCATGTTTTTACCCTCTTTGAACCTTGTAAAGAAATCTAAACAAACTGTAGAAGATGTATGTTATGCTGCTGAAAAGTTTTTGATCCTGTAACACATTATTTATTTGAAAACTATGCCTTGTTTTATGTATTATTTTTAATTTATTTAATTTATTTATTTATTTATTTATTTTTCATTGTCAATCTGCATATTGTTGATGCCTGGTCTGTTTTTTTGATGTTGTCTCCACGAGAGTTTGTAATAAACTTGCAATAAAAAATAAAAAAATGTACACTCGTCGCTTAGTGTCTACGTCACGGCTCTCAGCCCGCCCTCTGTTCGTTGATTGGCCGGCTGTTTTCAGGCCGGTGGAAAACTGAAAGATAGGCTTTTTTTTTTTTTTTTTTTTTTTGCAAGTTTATTACAAACTCTCGTGGAGACAACATCAAAAAAAAAACAGACCAGGCATCAACAATATGCAGATTGACAATGAAAAATAAATAAATAAAATAAATTAAAAGTAATACATAAAACAAGGCATAGTTTTCAAATAAATAATGTGTTACAGGATCAAAAACTTTTCAGCAGCATAACATACATCTTCTACAGTTTGTTTAGATTTCTTTACAAGGTTCAAGGAGGATAAAAACATAGAAAATTCATTTTTAAAACAGTTTACATTTGGCAATTGTTTTTTCCATTTATTTTTGTGAATGTGGTATTTACCCATAATGATGATAAGGTTAATCAAAATTGAAAGGTCCCTTGTTATTTTGGAATTATAAATTAGAATATCTTCGATGGTAAATTGTTCAAGTTCACTAATTTTATTTTTCAACCAGCTGTGGAAAACTGAAAGATAGGCGCTGTCTCAGACTCACTACAGGAGCGAAATGAAATTAGCGGAAGTAGGAAGTCTGACGTAGTCAGGCTAGCGAGACGCGACTCCTTGCACTATGTTCGACCGTCTCCAAGTCTCTGGCGGTCTGTAACAGTGAAATAGAACGTAGCATATAATAAACTCTGGCTGTTGTCTGCCAGACTGCCACAATATATAGACCATTTCACAAGATGTAAACAACACTGGTCCAGAAGCACTTCCTGTTTCAGTTTTTTTAACACTACATAAAAGCTGGGATAAAATACAACCAACAGAACATTTAAAACTGAATCAAAAAGTTAAACAAAGATCTTTAAGATGTTTTCTTTACATGTGAAATAAAGAAAACAGTTACAAACTGAAACAGGAAGTGCTTCTGGACCAGTGTTGTTTACATCTTGTGAAATGGTCTATACCCATCGATGCTGATTTTAGCAAACTGCCAAAGGATTCAGCACCAAGCCTTGTAAACAAAATGAAAAAAATAATATAATATAATTTTATATAAATAATTGTTTCAAAATTTTACCCTATTCACCTAGTGTCTCGCCTTAAAAGTTGGTAGTTTGCATATATGTTTGTATATATATATATATTGATATGCAAATTAGAAGGTAAAAAAACTAAACATTTCGCTTGGGTACCAATTTTATGGACTCAGAACCCTTGAAGTAAGGTAGGCGGTTCCCGACTTGTACCCATAAATGCTCCTCAATTCTTATCAATATTATGAAGCTGCAGACTCGGAGCCTGCATCTTACAGTCCCCCACCGAGAGTCCCGCATTCTCAGACCCCTCGTTTTTCGAACACAGCGCCTCCTGCTGTTCAAAAGATCGAATAACACCCGCACACAGAGTACAGTGCACGATTATCCAAATGCAATTAAAAACAATAGGATGCAATATTATGGTCTCCAAATAAATTATCCAATATATATCGAGTGAGAGTGTTACGGAATATGTCATCAGAGCTGAGACTACAATCACTGCTTTGAGAAATGCAGATGAGAATCTGAGTGACGAACTTTTGATTGCAATGATTTTGAAAGGACTTCCAGAGACATTTAAACCATTTACTATCCATGTTACTCAGAGTGATGTTAAAATGACTTTTGCCGAATTTAAAACAAAACTTCGAAGTTATGAGGATATTGAAAATATGCGGGCAACTACTTCCGCGGACAACGTAATGAAGGCAAGAGCACAGCTTGGAACGAAAGCTACTTTTGATGATTGTGCGGCTGCAAGTAGGCCTACTGACATTATCTGTTACCGGTGTGGCACAAAAAGCCATAAAGCAAGCACATGCAGACGTAAACAGTGGTGCCGTCATTGTAAAAGTACCACTCACCGTGATGCAACCTGCAGACGGAGAAAACCGCAGGACGACGCAAGGAAAGTGTCGGAGGAGCCGGGTGACAAGGAATATGTTTTTCGAGCAAGCGACGCTGAGATGTGGAGGCATGAGAAGGAAAAAAGAGGCCTAATGGTGGATGCAGGTGCAACTTCACACATCATCACAGACATCGCAAAGTTTCGAAGGTTTGATAGCAGTTTCCAAGCCGACACACACTGCGTGGAATTGGCTGACGGTACGAGGTGCAACGGAGTCGCTAAGAGCAGAGGGGACGCAGCAGTATGTTTAGTGGACAACACTGGACGACGTTTCAAAGCAACGCTAAGGAACGCGCTGTACATCCCTACTTACCCACAGGACATCTTCTCTGTAAAAGCAGCCACTTCGAACGGAGCAACCGTGATCTTCAGAGAGGGGAAGAACGTTCTGCTACATAAAGACGGTACTGAATTTCCCATACACGTGCACAATAAACTGTACTATTTGCACACAATAGACAATGAGTGTGATGACAAATGTGGGAAATGTTATGATTTGCAGACATGGCATGAGATATTAGGTCATTGCAACTATGGAGATGTAATTAAGCTCGAGAATGTTGTGAGCGGTATGCAGATTGTGAATAGAGCAGACAAACTCACCCCACCGTGTGAGATTTGCATTCAGGGCAAGTTTATTGAGACTAGAAAT